GTATTTAATTTACTTATATTTGTTTAAAATTATAAAATAAAGTAAATCTATGCACATGCGCATGCAAATTGTTAAATGCCGTCAGCAAATAAACACAAAGAGCTGCGCCATGTTTTTTTTCATTTCATTTGATTATTTCTATCATCGGTCACTTTTTCTTAACGTTCTTTGTCGCCGCGAAACCATATGTGCGGCGAATTCATTTACGAAAATGGATGTTAAAACGGACGCGAACTCCTCATCTCAACCTTTCAGACCTCACTCGCCGACTTTAACGAGTTGTCGCTTCTTATACATTTACGTTCTTTGACTCAACTAATGGTAGGCCCAAGAAACGCGCTCTTTTGAAGGGTTCGGACCTAAGAAAGTATTGTTATGATATTTTCTATAAAAGTTGACGTAGGTATCTTGGGCCCATCCATTCTGGATAGATAGGTATTTGCATAATAAAATGGGGTTAGACTATGTAAGGAAGGGAGTGTTTGTGGTCACATTTTGAACACAGTGAGCCTCCCGTCTTCTTGAAGCGACCTTACAGTCAAAGGGTAGGTACACTGTAGATAGGCTGAGTCGCAGAAACGACAGAGGTCCGGCAAATAGTTTCTGAATCTAAAGTGTCCTGTTGGACTGTGTGTACTATTTCTGAGTCTCAATCCCGGGAGTTCGATTATAAGCAAGCTTCTCTTCAGATTATGCTCCCGAGATGCTCCGGATCGTCTTTGGTCCTACTACAAGGAATGGCTCAGTCACTGCGGGAGTTGAGTTTGCCACTGCTCTGCAGTTGGATGTCATTGTGTTCTGCAAGGATGCTAGGTTTCTTAATGGATTCCAAGACTAGAACGAATTTAGCCTTAGAAGATAAGAGTTAAGGGTCCCTGAAGGCCGCTTATAGCCTAATTCGGAGAGCAAAGATATTTACGTGTCCCAATGACTTATGGAGTTTTTGGCCCGTCTCTGTACCATTGAAGAGAGCTGGCCATTTTAAATTTCTTCTCCGAGCAGTAAGCCCTGGAAACTAGTGTTCCACTCAACCACTCGTATTTCAAAATGGTTCTCTTTTTTATAAAGCAATCGCATTCTGGCTAGCATATTTCAGGACGAATGGAAATGGATTGAGCCAAGAACTTGTGTGAGCAAATCCAATTTTTAACAGAAATGTCAGTTACGCGGTTTTGCAGAATGACGATACGCGGTTTTGTACTTGAAACGACGATATGTATGTATGTATGCATATAAAAAACTTTAAACATTTTACAATTGCAAATTTAAATTTGTTTGCTAAATATTGTGCGTGCCACTATTCGATGGGTTAAGCGTGCAAAATCGCTGATGGTACACGTTAGGGTTAATATCATGGATGCCTCATGTTAATTATAAATGGAACTGCCGGACCTATAAATTTCTCCAAACCAAAACTCAGGTGTAGTAAAATTAACTAAAAAATTTAAGATGGATTTATTTTCTTTAAAATAAATGCACACTTATTAAAGCGAGGATGAACAATCTCTTGGATGTCAATATTTTTTGAGCATATCTTTTGTTCACTCCGGGTACGCTAGAAAATGTTAATTACCCTAAAATCTATTATCAACAATCGCAAAGCTTTCGACTCATCTGCGCTATTTACTTAATGAGGTTTAAAGTACCATCAGTAGTTACGAAATGACTGCCAAACTGTCTGGAAATCTCATAAAAGTGTTTGTCTATGGCACATTGAAACGCGGTGAGCCCAATCACCACTGGCTCACACGTCCCGAAAATGGACACTCGCGTTTCGTATGCGAGGCGCGAACTGTGCAAAAGTTTCCACTGGTGATAGGCACACGTTACAACATTCCATTTTTGCTAAACAAACCTGGAGCGGGCCATAACATATGCGGTGGGTACGGTTTAATAAGTGGCCCACCTATTTCGGGGTATTGCGTCCAAAGGGGTGACCCG